TAAAACAGTACATAAAGCAACACAACAGATATATTTATCAGTGATTTTCAAAATTCTGTAGCTTGGTAAATGAAAAATAGATTACTGTTTTTAAAACCCCAAGATATTTAAAACTTTCAACATATTAACAACTTTACTATGTTACCATTAATTGTTATATATACATAAAAATCAATCACATTTTGTAAATAGATAGTGATAAACAACACTACTGATATTTTAACAAATTTCTTTCAATTTTTACCATATGTATCAAGAACATTCCTCTCATTTAGCCACACCAGGTGAGAATAATCACTCTTAAAGACAATAAAAAAAAACATTGATAAGGAGATAATAATGTTAATTTTTCAATCTGAATAATATAAGGGAAAAATTAATCTCAAAAAGAGCACTATTTGCTGTGAATGTTAGTATTAGGGATTTGTAGCAATACTTTTTTTACCATGACATAAACGTCACTGGTGTAGGAAAGAGTTGCAAAGTGATTGGTTACATATGCAGATTTTACAATAAAAGACTGAAAGTATAAGGAGCTGCTGAAAGTACCTCTCGTTGCCAAAGACAGCTCAATATAGGGGTCTTGGGGCATGGCCCCCCCAGAAAACGAATATAATAATATAACTTACAGTTGCTATATAGGTCAAATATGTAAAAGTGGGGGTACTAGAGCACTTTTGGATACGACGCTTCTGAAGTTAAAATTTCAATGATATCAAGCTAAAACATTTGATAAGCTCACTTTAATGTAATAAGAACTAGATATTTATCACCTTGGTACAACGTTATTGATATGTCATTCCCATTCATTATTTCTATCTCAGGAATTGATTCCTTCCAGCCTTCCATTAAATTATTTATTATAAAAAAACAGCAGAAAACACTAATTATAATCAGGCATTCCTTTTTCTTCTGAAAGGAAACAAATTAAATTAAAATGTAATCTTTCTTCGACTGAAAAATTTATCCCCTAGTGAGTCAGCAATAAGTTTACAAACTTATAAAGCTAAAATGTGATGTTTGATTTTCTGCAGTGGACAGACAAAAGATAGCCCATTGTTTAACTCTGCAATAAAACAACAACAATAGTAAGGAGTGAAGAATTAGGCATCATGCAAAGAGAAAAGAATAATGTATTTTCAAACACAAGTATGTCAAATCTAAGTATTAATTAAAACTTGTATCTTTCAGAAATTCTATAAGTATACTAAACTCGAAAACAGGAATCGACTTTGCTTGGACCACAGATAAAAAAAAATCTTTTTTACTCACAAACTAGTAAACCTAGTCCACTATTTCTATTCACAATATCATAAAGGAAACATATAAAACTACAACACAAAACCCATTTTGCAAAACATGCCTAAAATTAGACAGAATGTATACAAAGGTAGAACAACTGTTTAGAAGATATAAGAAAGATGTTACTCACATTCCTTTAATGTTCAGAAAAACAAATAATACAATTTTGTAAACATTTACATAAGTATTCGCTTAACAACAGGATGGAGGCCTGTAATACCTCTTCACCGACACACTAACATTTTCCCACTTAATGAAATATTAATATATTTTTTAAAAACATGTGCTCACTTTAATCTGCAGATGAAATACAATGTTTAGAAGCGATGACATGGAGAAAAGGTTTTTAAATATTTTAACTTGGTGATAACTCACACAAAATTTTACTGTACTACATTCATCCTGCAAAAGGAAAAGTTATCTTGTAACTATCAATGAGTAACAGTTAATATCTAGGACACTTGAAAGGAGGTTTATGCTTTAACTTAAAGCTTGTCTATTGTCTGATATACATTGTAACCATAAATATTGTACGCTGTATATCTGACAATAAACAAGTTTCAAGTTTTACATAACAGGATACTTCCTCTAATTATTTAGGTTTATTCTTTACTCTAAAAACATAGGGTACAATTTGAAAATACTCTTATTAAGATGGTTTTTTCATTGTTTTACAAGCTGAATGCATGTCATATGATGGGAAATAATGATTAATTTTTCTTCTCAAAATTATTTCTAAATAAATGTTTTATGAACATGTTTTATAAAATTAACTATAATCTAGTAACAATATATGTATGAAGAATGACCATCCTATTTCTAGTATTTCAAAAAACAATGTTTTTTACATATATTTGGTCATCTGCTTTAAGTACTGCTTGATTAGTATTTTGACTTCTGTATATTTTTAAGTTATATTCAAATGTTATTTTTGATAAATCATTATGACCTTCAAATTATTAATTGTGATGGTAAAGGTAGTGAGTTTTATTATGAATTTTGGAGGCTTCTCTTTTGACTATCTTCCTGGTTTTGGCTTTGTTAGCCTGTTGAAATGTGCTGCAGGTAAAACATGTTGTTTATTATAGAATTGTAGCCAAGGGTTCCAATTGAACAAAATTTGGTGATGTTGCACATCAATGTGTCTCCTTGACAACCAAACAAATGTAATAGATAATTTCAGCTAATGACTATGATTTTTGTGCATCAGCAGTACCAAGCATGGGACACATCTATGCCCAATTCAATTTTCTTACTTAGCACAATCTCTTCCAGCCACACATATATATATGTAAAATGGACAATGAGCTGCTTTGGGCATGTTATTAGATTTGAGGGTAGGTTGGTAAAAAGACAAACTAGCTTGTCGTGGCAGAAAGCATTAGAATTTCATGCAAGTTCTATGTTGATCAGTACCACAATGGCCAAGATATCAGCGTGACAGATGGATGGCTTTTTGTCTTTTTTATAGATGTTTGATACACACATTCAAATGAGTAATTGTACATTTAATTGCTTGTGCTTGGAGAACTCGGCCCTCATTACTTAAACACTGAACTTTAACAAAAAAATAATAAAAGTATTAACTTTCTAGGCATATTTTAGCACGACTTTTTCTGTATTTTTATTTTCAATTATTGATATTGTTATGTTAAACCTCATGCCAAAAACTTGAAACAAACAAATTCAAAATTCGTAAATAATTTTCACTTATTAAAGAAGTGAAATTTTATATTACATAAAATACAAAAAATGTAGTTTTAACCACTATGTATAAAGCATTAAAATAGCAAAGTTAATAAGTGAACATTTATGTTAAATTAATAGTGTTAAATTGAAGATTATACGTTACTAACTGAACATTGCCAGACAGAAATAAAGATTATGCCTTCAATTTCAAATTTAATTAAATTTACAGAAATTTTGTTTTTCAACTAACAGAAACTGTAGAATTGGTTGTGTATGTTTTGTGGAGTACTGCATACTACCACTAACTGTGAAAGCTGGGTAAGTTCCTGAAAGAACTAAAGGTTGGGTAACCTGCTTGGCAGATTTGATAAAGCACATTAATAGGTTTTATCAAATGATATAGGAAAAAGAAAATCATATGTAAATGTACTGTCGTTTTTCAAAACTCATAACATAGGTAAATTAATACGTAAAAAATTATGCAAGGACTGTTCTGTATGTTATATACTTTTCTTCTAATTGTGAGCTTTTGGCCCTTTTACTAGAGCCTTTGTTGAGCAACAACGTACTGAGTACTACAAATTAGTTTATCTATGGAACACTTTTGAAAGGAAGGTGTCTAAAGAACAATCCTAACAATGTCTGATGTCTTAAAGTAACTAATCATGTAGGAATTTCTGAAATTAATTATGACAAGTAAAGAATTAACAGACAAAGATTTAAACTTTTTAATAAATTGAAGAGTCAAAACCTTGGCCTTTGTAGCTGCATAATAATATAGATATCTTATTAAGTCTGTTATTTAAAAATATTTAAGATCAAACAATTTCTTTTGAGCATGCTAAAACCACTAACATTAGATTTGGCATATTCAATCCAAAACTTACAAGAATTCTTTGACCACATTTCTGACCGAATAATATTCGAACAATATTATGGCTAGTCTTGACATACTTTCACATTTTACCAAGATAGATACTATGAACACCATGAAAATAATACACAAATCATTAAGTGATGACATCTCACTCTGATTAAGAATGTTCATCAGTATCCCAAACATCATGAACTTATTAGACATTTCCCTGCATGCATATTACTTCCACTGGAATAGTCAACTTTACAGAATGTTAAATTGTACTCCAATGGGTTCATCTTTATCACCTTGAACACACCATTTTAACACAGTATCTTCATCAATCTCATATATGGGTAAGATACATCAATAACACATTTATTTCATGGAATCATGGAGAAGAACTCAAAACCTGTCTTATTTATCAGAACAGCTAAACATACAACTTTTCTTTACAAATTTCTTTAAAATTTGAAGTCAATAGTACTCCTCCATTCTTTGACATTCTGGTTCACAAGGACACAAGTCTAGACAAGCTGACCACTAAAGTTTATAAGAAAGAGATTCAAACAAAAAAATAGCTTAATTTTTGTTCAGGTCATACAATTTATGTCAAAACTGGTATTGCTAAACCACTAAAATCTAGAGCTAGGAATACATGCTCCTCTTTCTACCTAGACAAAGAACTTTAACACCTTGAGATTTTCACGAATAATGGCTATTCCAAGAAAAAAAGTGAGGGTATGTTATATGGTCAATCTGTCTCAACTACAATCTGACAATCACACTGGAAATAAAAAAAACTAAATTTTTTCCTTTATATATATATATATATATATACTAGGTCTCAGGGAAAACACTTTAAAGAGTAACATATAAACTTAACATGATCATAGTCTTCATAAGTCCCCTACACTCTATTGTACATTATACTCTTAAGTCTATTTAAATGTTTTGTTCTGTTGTGTATAGTACCTGATTATGGCACACTAATGGTACCTAAATATAGTTCTTGTATTTTTTCAATCCAATTTTAGCTGTTTTTAATTTTAACTTCCTTTTAATCATTATTTCCTTGAACTCAGATTCCTAATAAATTGACTACTCTAAAATATTTATTTCTTTGTACTTTCAAATAAGTAAAAATGCACCAACTTCAATCAAATTTAAAACAAACTAACTTTTTCAATGCTATAAAATTATAAATGTTTACTAATGTTAAAGAATAAAACTGTTAAGATATTAACAACAGGAGCATTTGTGTAAATAAATTATAGGCATTAATGTGCCACCCACAACTCAAACAAGGGTGTTAATTGTAACTAAATGTTCAATATTTATTAGTATAAGTGCCAGCAAGTTATTAACAAGAATTTATTTTTGGACTATTTTGTTTCAAACAAGATTATTAGTTTGTTTATTTTAAAATTGTACAACATTTTTTTTAATCTCTTATGCTACATTTCAACAGACTCATATTGTATGTCTCTTCTCTATGCTGTTCAACACATAACAGTTGACTACAGATAAATCCACATTAGGATTTGGTGAAGAAATTTACTCCTTTCATGGCACTATTCACACTGTCATAATTTTTAGCTTATTAAACATGCAGTTTTCTTCTTTTTGTTATACAACTGACAAGAACTTAAAATAAGCTAAATTATAACCTATCACAAAAGAAGTATGAGTAAAAGCCCTAGTATAATACATAACTATTGCAGTTTGTGGTAATATATCAAAAACAAAGAAAATGAAAACACTGATTGATACTAATCAAAATTTAAAACAGTAACTGAGAAATTACATTTTTTTAGATTTTAATGGAGCTTCTTGGTACACACTTTAAATCCCAATCTAAATAAGATTAAATTCATATTCTAATAACTTATTTCCAAAGATCATGGCATTTGAAAACACAATATAATCATGCATCTCCAAAATATCAGTCTGTGAAACCATGGTCTAATAATGTATTTACAAAAAATCATACTATGTGAATCTGTGGTCAAAGTTCATATCTCTAAACCACTGTAACCTATGTAATATCAGGTACATCTAAACCTACACAACCTAAAAATCTACAGTTTATCTAATACCATGGGAAAAAAATCACTGAACACAAAATACCCCAGCTTATGATATTTTAAACTACATACAATTGTTTAGGCTAACTCTGTGTTCTTACTTGTAAGGAAGAAGTGTCATGTTTAAAACAATGACCAGTTTTATATTACTGTACATGTGACTTGGAAAAAGTGAGACATTTTACATATTTTAGCTGCAACTACTGTATTCACAGTTTTTTGAAATTAACTTTAATTAGTTTTAATATTTTCCTAAATGTTCCTCAGACACACTATTGATTGGAAGATGACACAATCCAACACATAGAGTGTCAACAATAGTTTGTGTCTGATAGAGGCCTTCTTGCTGAGTCCATCTTCTGGCACTTACAACTGTTGTTGATCCAATATCCTTCCTGGTGATAATTACTACAGCACTCTCAACAGCTCCTTACCAAATGTTGTATATTACAGAATATTACAGGTTTTAGACTGGAAAATATAAAAAAATATGATGTAGTACAATTTGTCTTATTAACAAAAGTAAACAGTGAAGTAAAAAGAATATTTGAAAGTTTGCAGCAATAAAATCAAAATATATTATTAATATATGTGATGGCAACACACACACACATATATATACACACACAAGTTAGGTATTGTTGAAAGCTATATTTTCAACATTTTAGTTTGGATGTTTGCTAAAAGGTGCATGACTTTAAGGCCTATAAAGTTTGTGAAATTTAAGAATTGAGAAGCTTTGTGGAATATTTAGAAAAAAGGTACAATATACATATGAGTAATAAGTGATGATGGAGTTACTTCAGTGTAAGAAAAATTATTCAATGTTAGTAGTGAGAGTTATCACATCCATTTCATTACTGAGTTACTTGGTGAGTTAGCATGTTTGTTTATGAATCAGAGCTAAGTAAGTTAAGCCTACATTCGTTTCTGTTTATATTTCAAAAGTTTATTTATAAAATAATGTCTACAAGTAAATGTGGCTGTAGCAAACGTTTATTGAATAAATAAATTTATTATCATTAAGTGGACTGAATTTGGCATTATTTTTACCAAATAATCCATAAAGAACCCACCCAATGGCAGAATGAATCCAGGACAACTAGACACCTAAAAAAATGATGAAGTAGGACATTTAGACTCCACTTGTTAATTATAAAATGAAACAATAATTCTAACAGATATGTTCCAGTATAACACTATATAAATTCATAAAAATTTAAAGGTACAAAATGGAGCTTATTAGCTCATCAAGGATGTCCCTTCCAGCTCCCAACTATAACCACCCCTTACTACACAAGTATTCAATCAATCTTTTCTTGAACTTAAATTTTCTGCCTCCACCACCCTTGAAGGCAGCTCATTTCAAAAACCACCATGTTTAAAAAGTAATACTGTCTAAACTACAGACAACTCCCATGCTGCCAAAATTTGAATTTATGACCCCTTGTACTATTGTTCCTACTGCTAAACACAAAAAGCTCTTGCAGTAACATCCTCAAAGAATGTCAGAAGATTTATTAAACAAGATTTTCCCTTAGTGAAACCATGCTGGCTATTTAACACTATATCAAACTGCTTTAAGTGACTCTGCAATGCATTTTTAATCACACTCTCCAAAACCTTTCCAACTACTGATGTAAGACTAACTTGGGTCCAACAATAGCCAATAGTTTTATATGCTATCATATAATGAAGTAAATTAAACTTGTAATGTATATTGTTACGACAGCGGAAGTCACGTGACGCGGTAACAGGTGATGAGTTTTTAGAAGGATCAGGGAACATCACAAATAATCTAGTATTTGCTAGACGCCCTCTATTCTTGTATATAAGCGCGCCAGATAAAGCGAGACAATTAATCGGAACTTGAATTGCAGACAGGCAGAGATAGAGACGGACAATTGAGTCAAGCGCGGTAGTGACCATAAGTAATGTGTGTGAATCATTGTGAATTATAGCATGTGTTTAAGTTAAAGTGACTGTGGAAATTAAGTGTATTGCAAAGTTGAGTTGAGAAAGAATAAACTAGTTTTATTTAAGAAAGGACTACTATCGCTGAAGTTTCTCAGAAAGAATTTCTTTGGAAAATTAACAAACGAACACAGAGACGTATGTATATGCTTATAGGCCTTGGGGATCCAATTTATCTGGTCATAAATGACATCATTAAAGAGGAAATGGTTTAGTTTTTCATGCTATCATGAACACATATGGTTAGAAAACTGACCACATGAATTTAAAAATGTTCTTTACTCCATTATATGAACTGTATATATCTAAGCCTATTACATTACCAGTTTTATTTACTCAATCATATACATTTTAAGTATATTGCAAAGTTTTAACACCCCTCTAAAATTATTAGGTGTCTAAATGTCATACTTCCTCATCTTTTTAGGTGTCTAGTTGTCCAGCTACCTGCTAGAACACATTACAATAGCACGATATTGCCAAATAATTATTTGAATCTTACATTACTACATTTACCTCTTGAAACACTATTTGTATCTTAGATAGGGGATTTTATAAGTTGAACCATTCCAAACTGCTTACTAGATCTTTATTTTTTTCAAGCTTCATAAAATATTAAAATACATCAACAAATAAGTTTAATTGCAGTCTTTTTATCTCTAGGTTGCAGAATGCTATCTATTACTGTCTAACTTGCAACACATTCAAGTTATCTGTCAGTTCAATTGGAGACTTTATGCAAACTTAGGACACTTTAACAATGATATGATGCAAGTAGTATGAAAACTAGTGATCTCCTTTGATGCTCGAATGATAACTCTGAAAAAGAACTGTAACTGGTGAAATGAGGTACTTGTAAGATGATGACATTTCTAGGAAGTAAATGATAATTTTTTTACCAGATATGGTAAGTGTCAGGCAGAAAATGTGCATTAAATAACAATGATGAAAGCTGGTAAAAACCCAGAATAATCATGTAATTGAGAATGAGTAAAGAAAGCCACAATAGCTGTGGGATCGTTAGCAAGGCTTGTGATGTACAAGGTATCCACAGAAAACTCAAACAAAGGAAAGAGCAAAGTATCAAGGCGAGATCATTGAGATCACGAGTTCACTGAAGGGGAGAGAGGGGATATAATGGTAATATTCCAACAGAAGTAACTCAGAGCTATTTAAGAACCCTTATTCATGAAAATAATAGCAAAATGTGGCTTGATACCTATGATAAGAATACCACTGAGAAGATAAAATAGAGGAAGAAGTTGCTATGTGTACGTTGTACCTAACTCTATTAGGACAAAGTTAAAATCACAGAATGTTGTGAAAAGGATTGACTGTATGGTATATATATATACTGATATGGTTACTGAATACATCTTGAGAACAAATGAAGGATTTTAGGCACATATGTAACTGACAGAAACAGTAACCTAACATAATGAAATAAAAGTTACTTGAGGTTACTTAGGTGAGAAATCTATGCTATTTTATTCACAAATAAGTTCAGAATTTTTTATCACATAATAAATGGACATATTTAGATATGAAAAGAACTACAAAAATAAGAACAAATAATTATTAAGTACAACAGGTAGTCTCCACCATTTGCTATAATTGTTTAATCTTGACTAGTTCTTAAATTTATCAAGATATTGATGTTCTTAATTTTTTATATATATTCTAACTGATATATCAGGTTGTTGATGCTAGGCTGAGCTTGTATTTATTCACCCTGTTGTTATAGTATTGAACAGTGATTAGCAATTTTGATTTCTATTTTATTTACATTAAAAGTGTTTCCTTCTCTTATTTACATTGGGCATATGGTGTACAGCAAATTATGCATAATAATACAAAATAATCATATAACAAATAAACAAATAGCAGTAGGTTGTCTCCCTGTGGTCACTGGTTTGAAATTAGGGATTGTGACATGCTATCTGAACATTGCACTAACAAACATGCTGTGACAGGACTCCATAATTGGAGAGATGAGACCTTGTGTTTTGGCCAGTGCTATAAATTCCTCTCATGTGAAACCATAACCAAGATATTATTTTAAACATGTTTCACTTAATTACTAGACTTAGGTTTTTATCAACAGTTAGCGAAAGTTTAGCAAAACACAAATAGAAAGTGATGTCTAATAAGCAATACAGTTCTCAATTCAACAACCAATCTAAAAAGAAATAAAATGCACAATTTGATAAGTTCAAAGATACTAAATATTCTAAAGAATGAAGAAACTATACATACACATAAATAATAAGTTTTTAATAAAGAACCTTAAGTAACTTCTATTTTTCAAAAATTAAAATAAATCTAAAACTAAGGTTTATTAACATTTCAATCAGTTAACAAAAAGTAGAAACAACATTAATTCTACAAGGTTTCATTGATGTGCAAAATGTGGACTAACAGTTCACAAAACAAGTGACATTCTTTACTCGTGGGGATAGCTTTGTCAGTTTAAAATACATACGTATGGAAATGAAACCAAATTTACAAAACTTTATTAAGAATTTTGTAACACATACCAAATGAACATTGTTTGACAGATGCTACCTCGAGCCATTTGTCATATCATTATTGGTAAATTAAACTTATAAGTAGTGATGAAATATAAAATTAAACTGAGTTGGTGCACTAGAGGAAATATTTGTTAAATGCAAAAATTCACACAACTTACGCTGTTATTAACAAAACATGAATTTGACCAATAAAATCTGCAAGTTGTGCCACTTTAAAGTTTAATCAATCTACTTAAATTCTGGTACATTTCAGTTTTTCTCTCATGAGATACTATTTTTTCTACCTACAGTCCATGAATAACCCTGAATTTTATTGTAAAAATATCATGTCAAAAATGCATGCTTCAATTTACCTTTGTTAACAATTTCAAAAAATAAAGATAAATACCTCTTCATTCCTCCTGACAGATGAAATGTCATATAAGATATTCATAAATATGTCACTTTTACATGTTGTATCAGAAGTTTGTAATTTAAGTGGCTTAATACCACAGATTTTTGCATTAAGTTTAAAGGGCAAGGGATCTATAAGAATGAAACTCTGGATACAAGTGAGGGATAAAAATTAAATATTTACCTATGGAAGGTGTTCACCTGTAACAAAAGTACGATAAGGTATATTTACATAAATGAACTTGTCTATTGCCACTTCTTTATTTTTTCCATGTGTACTGAATAATATGTAGGCTCACTTGTGCATTTTAAGGTAATATTTTCTTACTTTGCATAAATGTTTTAAAATAAAGACACTTTCTTTAAACAGCTTCAGTCTTTAGTATGTTGTTTATCATTACAAGATAGGATACATGTTAAAAGATGCCATTGGCTATATTCTCATAAAAACTGTTGTTTATGTTAAAATGTTAAATCTGTCATTCTATAAATCTAGACTAACCTTATGCACATCCAAGGAAAGTGCAACAGGTTCAGTAGAGCTAATTGCATAATTACACATGAGAAATTACA